TTTTTGCAGTAGGGTGAGACCCAAACTGGTTGATAGACCACCCACAACCTCTGGAGACCCTGGCTGCTTCAAGCTACAGTGGCTCGGCTGGTCCACTTGCCCTTGACTCTCCCCTCCTCTCTTGCAGTAACCCGCATCGTCCGGGTGATCAGCCAGCCCCGGGGCAACATGCTGCTGGTGGGCATCGGAGGGAGCGGGCGCCAGAGTCTGGCCCGCTTGGCTTCCTCCATCTGCGAATACTACACCTTCCAGATCGAGGTCTCCCGGCAGTACCGGAAGCAGGAATTCCGAGAAGGTGAGTGGGTTCCTCACCCCGTCCCCGAGGTCCAGAACCGTCTTCCGGAAGTTGAGAAGTTGAGATAAACGGAATTCTGGTCCTTAGATTGAAAATACTTGGAAACCAGTTGAAAAGAAGGACTCTTTATCTGCTTAATATTTAAAAATTAGACCTAAAAGGAAAAGGAAAAGGAAAATGAATTATTAGGAATATGTTTGATCTATCGATTAACCCAGGAAATATATATATATAATAATAATAAAGTTGGAAGGGACCTTGGAGGTATAATAATAATAATAATAATAATAATAATAATAATAATAATAATAATAATAATAATAATAATAATAATAATAATAATAATAAAGAAGTTGCAAGGGACCTTGGAGGTCATCTAGTCCAACCCCCTGCTCAGGCAGGAAACCCTACACCATTTCAGACAAATGGCTGTCCGGTCTCTTCTTAAAAACTTCCGGTGTTGGAGCATTCACCGCTTCTGGAGGCAGGTGGTTCCACTGGTTAATTGTTCTAACTGTCAGGAAGTTTCTCCTTAATTCTAGGTTGCTTCTCTCCTTGGTTAGTTTCCATCCGTTGCTTCTTGTCCTGCCTTTGGGGGCTTTGGAGAAGAGCTTGACTCCTTCTTCTTTGGGTCAGCCCCTGAGATACTGGAAGACTGCTATCATGTCCCCCCTCGTCCTTCTCTTCGTTAAACTAGACATACCCAATTCCAGCAACCGTACATACATACATACATACATACATACATACATACATACATACACACACACACATATATATAGTGATTTTGATTGATTGATTGATTTATTAAAGGGGATATTGTATTATCAGGTAGACGATTTAATATGGTGGGAAACAGATAACTTTTTAGGAAACAGAGCGAGATTGTATTCCAACAGATAAAAAATGTGTATTTTGGATCTTAGACTTTGTTACGAATTGAGATAAGGGAAATTCTGGCGACCCGAGGCTTGAAAATGATAAACATCAAAGGTTAAATTGGAATATTGGTGAGAAACTCAAAAAGTGGGTAAAAATCAATAACAGGATATGGGTTGTCTATGAAGACGGAATGTCGTTAAGATGCGTATTAGCTAAAAAAATGTATTGATAAATGTAATCGTGATGTTTTTATCGATATAATAAGAATTGTACTAGCTGGAATACAGTAAATGTTAAGGGGAAAAGAGAAGAAATATTTGATGGTGCAATTTGAGATTTGGACGAAAGATTTTGTTATTGAACTATTGATCCACCCGGTCACCACGATGCCGCGGAAGTGATGTCCCGGTGCCTGGAGGCCGTGCGAGTCCAAGACCGAGTGGCTGTGGTTTCCGGCGTCACGTCATAGCCAGTTGGTTCCATCTCTGGCTATCGGGGGCGAGTCATTAGCTCCCACGGAGAGGGCCCGCAACCTGGGCGTCCTCCTGGATGCTCGGCTGTCTTTAGACGATCATGGGACGGCCGTGGCCAGGGGGGCTTTTCATCAGGCTCGCCTGATACGCCAGTTGCGCCCCTTTCTGGATCGGGACGCCCTACGCACGGTCACTCAAGCCCTCGTTGTTTCCCGCCTGGACTATTGCAACGCTCTCTACATGGGGCTCCCCTTGAGGTGCACCCGGAGGCTCCAACTAGTCCAGAATGCGGCTGCGCGGGGGATTTTGGGGGCCTCTAGATGCTCCCATGTAACACCTCTCCTGCGCGAGCTGCACTGGCTGCCGGTGGCCTTCCGGGTGCGCTTCAAGGTGTTAGTAACAACTTTTAAAGCGCTCCATGGCAATGGACCTAGGTATTTGCAAGATCGCCTCCTACCAAATATCTCCCTTCGACCAGTCCGCTCCCACAGAGAGGGCCTCCTTAGGGTACCGTCGGCCAGCCAATGCCGGCTGGCGACCCCCAGGGGGAGAGCCTTCTCTGTGGCAGCTCCTGCCCTCTGGAATGACCTGGCCCCCCGACTTACGTACAGTTGCGGACCTGCGCCTCTTCCGCCGAGCCCTGAAAACTCATCTGTTCCATGCGGCCGGCCTGGCGTAGTTTTGATTGGGTTTTGTTAGGGGTTTTATATTTTAGAGCAGGCTTTTATGTAACATTTACTGTGGTTTTTATTATTGCCTGTTCACCGCCCTGAGTCCCGTAAGGGAGATAGGGCGGTATATAAATTTAAATAATAAATAAATAAATAAATAAATAAATAAATAAATAAATAAATAAATAAATAAATAAATAAATAAATCAGGGGTAGTCAACCTTGGCTCTTTTATGACTCGTGGACTTCAACTCCCAGAATTCCTGAGCCAGCTAAGCTGGCTCAGGAATTCTGGGAGTTGAAGTCCACGAGTCATAAAAGAGCCAAGGTTGACTACCCCTGACCTAAATTAATAAAATATTTTTTAAAAAAACAAGAACGTTCTTCCAGGTGAGTCTTGGTGATGTCTGGGCCTCCCAACAGGTGTCCTTTTCCTTCTCCAGACATCAAGAAGCTGTACCGGCAGACCGGGGTGGATCTCAAGCCCACCACCTTCCTCTTTGTGGACACTCAGATAGCCGACGAATGCTTCCTGGAGGATATTAACAACGTCCTCAGCTCCGGAGAAGTTCCCAACCTCTACAAATCGGATGAGTTTGAGGAGGTGTGTGAGACGGGGCCGAGCATCCCGTAGCCATCCATCGTTGGCCTCTTTGGGCTTGGTGGATGCTCTTGAGTTTCTGAGTAGATCATGAGATGTTGCGACCCTGGAAAGTGTGCGGAGAAGAGCAGCTCCCTTCCCCTTCCCCGTTGGTCTGCTGGCTGGGGACCATGGGCGCTTCCTCCCCACAGCTGGAGAGAACCACACGGCAAAATGCAGAGCCCCGGAGTTTTGACATCCCACGTCAAGTCTCTTGACGTGGGGAACTGGTCAGGTTTGCAGATGACACCAAGCTGGCTGGAATAGCCGATACTCCACAAGCAGGGGTCTTCAAACTTGTCCCTTTGATGACTTGTGGACTTCCCAGAATTCCACAGCCAGGCAGGGGGTTGCATAAGGCGGCCTTCAAGGTCCCTTCCAACTTCTATTCTATTCTATTCTATTCTATTCTATTCTATTCTATTCTATTCTATTCTAACCTAACCTAACCTAACCTAACCTAACCTAACCTAACCTAATTTCTATTCTATCCTATCCTATCCTATCCTATCCTATCCTATCCTATCCTATCCTATTCTTATACTTATTCTTATTCTTATTCTTATTCTTACCTAATTTCTATTCTATTCTAACCTAATTTCTATCCTATCCTATCCTATCCTATCCTATCCTATTCTATTCTATTCTATTCTATTCTATTCTATTCTATTCTATTCTATTCTTATTCTTATTCTTATTCTAACCTAATTTCTATTCTATTCTAACCTAATTTCTATCCTATCCTATCCTATTCTGTTCTTATTCTTACCTAATTTCTATTCTATTCTATTCTAATCTAATTTCTATTCTATTCTATTCTTATTCTTATTCTTACCTAATTTCTATTCTATTCTAACCTAATTTCTATCCTATCCTATCCTATCCTGTTCTTATTCTTATTTGTATCCCGCCCTGAGTCCGGTAAGGAGAAGGGCGGGATACAAATCAAATAAATAAATAAATTCTTATTCTTACCTAATTTCTATTCTATTCTATTCTAATCTAATTTCTATTCTATTCTATTCTTATTCTTACCTAATTTCTATTCTATTTTAATCTAATTTCTATTCTATTCTATTCTTATTCTTACCTAATTTCTATTCTATTCTATTCTAATTTCTATTCTATTCTATTCTGTTTTAATTCTATTCCATTCCATTCCATCCTTCTTCTCCCTCCCCCAGATCCAAAGCCACATCATCGACGCAGCCCGGGCGGAGGGCATCCAGGAGAGTCAGGACAGCCTCTTTGCCTACCTGATCGAAAGGGTCCGCAACAACCTGCACGTGGTCCTGTGCCTGAGCCCCGTGGGGGACCCATTCAGGTGAGGCTCCGCGGTGGGTCTCTCCAGACAAGGCGGGCGGAAAGTTCTGCGTGGAGCAACAGCGCCCTCCAGTGGCCAAAGTAGCCATAGGTTTGGCGCACAGGTGGAAAGTTTAGAGGGTTTAAAGCAGGGGTCTTCAAACTTGAACAGCTTGCCACTAGAAGTTGTGGGTGCTGGAGGTTTTCAAGAAGAGATTGGACCACATTTTGTCTAAAATGGCGGTGGAATCTCCTGCTTGAGCAGGAGGGTTGGACTAGAAGACCTCCAGAGTCCCTTCCGACTCGGTTCTTCTGTCGTTCCGCCCCAGGAACCGGATCCGCCAGTATCCTGCTTTGGTGAACTGCACCACCATCGACTGGTTTTCGGAGTGGCCCAAGGAAGCCTTGCTGGAGGTGGCGGAGAAGTACCTGGAGGGCGTGGATTTGGGCCTGGTGGAACGGGGGAGCCTCGACACGGTGAGAGCCCACCTGCCCGTCTCCAAGCGGGGATCCTGCAAACCCCTGTCTGGGACTGAGAGATCTAGCGGACGATCCCTGCTTAAACATTCACTGCATTCACCGCTTCTGGAGGCAGGTGGTTCCACTGGTTAATTGTTCTAACTGTCAGGAAGTTTCTCCTTAGTTCCAGGTTGCTTCTCTCCTTGATCAGTTTCCATCCATTGCTTCTTGTCCTCCCTTCAGGCGCTTTGGAGAATAGCTTGACTCCCTCTTCTTTGGGGCAGCCCCTGAGATACTGGAAGACTGCTATCCTGTCCCCCCTCGTCCTTCTCTTCATTAAACTAGACATCCCCAGTTCCAGCAACCGTTCCTTATATGCTTTAGCCTCCAGTCCCCTAATCCTCTTTGTTGCTCTTCTCTGCACTCTTTCCAGAGTCTCAACATCTTTTTTACATTGTGGTGACCAAAACTGGACGCCGTATTCCAAGTGTAGAGCCAGCCGTGTGTGGCAGCAGCCAAAAAAGCTAACACAATGCTTGGTTGTATAAACAGAGGCGTAAAATCAAAATCACATGAAGCATTAGTCCCGCTTTGTAAAGCCTTAGTAAGGCCACACCTGGAATCCTGCATCTAGGTTTGGTCACCACATCGCAAAAAAAAAATGTTGAATTTTTTAGAAAAAGCGCAGAGAAGAGTAACTAAGATGATCAAAGGCCTGGAGACTAAAACATACGAAGAACGGCTGCAGGATTTGGGTTTGGCCAGCCTAGAGAAAAAGAAGGATTAGGGATGACATGATAGCAACCTTCCAATATTTGGGGGGCTGCCACAAAGAAGAGGGGGGTTCAAGTTATTTTCCAAAGCACCAGAAGGCAGGAGAAGAAACAACGGATGGAAATTAATCCAGGAGAGATTCAACCTGGAACTAAGAAGAAATTTCCTGACAGAGGGAACGATTAGCCAGGGGAACTGCTTGCCACCAGAAGTG